CTGCCTTCCAGTTTAGTGATCTCTCCACCAGGCAAAACTGCTTCTAATCCCAGGCCCTAGCACAACTGAGAGAGCCAAAATTACTCTCACCCATAACAAGCTGAGCTCTTTTTCCCCCCACCACTAGAAACAGAGGCAGGTTCAGGATGGTTTGGGGATGAAGTCTGGGTTGAGCTCTCATGTTATCCAAACCATCTCTGCCTAATTCCCTCATACATATATGTATTAAATTTACAGCCTTTGCTTTGTTTTGCAATCTTTTGTAACTGACTTAATTAACAATAGCATACATAAAAGGCACTGAGGAAATAGAGGAAATCAGATAAACACCAACAAACAATAGAATTGAATGTAGCTTCCATGGAGGAATCATCAGGGTGAGAACGTTTAATACTATATCAAACCAAGTTAATTGAGTGTGAAAGATAATTATGATGAAAGGGGTGATGGCACTGAGCAAAGATCATTATCCATATAGCTTCAAAAACATGTTTTTAAAAGGATAAATGTCAAATGAAATCCAGTTGGAGAGTCTAAGGGCCCATCAGGAACTAATCCTAAAATTAAATCTCTTTCTCAAGATAAAGTATCTGGGAATTTGATTATTAAGGGTAGACTGTACCCTGGTCTTCTACAACTAAGTAAAGGCACCCCCTAGCTTGCTTGGTCTATCTGGATTTTGGCTCCAACATTGGTGTAGAACACAGCCTCGGCTTTCAGGACAATCTGCCCCCTGTGAGAAAGTGGGCAGGGAGAGAACAGGTAGTGGGTGAGGCTGGGCTCCACCCCCTCACTCCCTGGCTAGAGCTGGTGGCTAGGTGTCAGGTTACATTTCTTTGCTGTTGTTCTGCAGATCTAAAGGGAATCCTGGGCGTGTTCTCCTCTGAACCACGCCTTTGGATGGCCCGCATTCACGCAGAGGGCTAGAGAGATCCACCCGTAGCACAGAATCCAGAGGATGATGGCTTTAGTTCTCTTAAGCTTATAAAACCTCTCCGGATTTTACAGAGTGCAAAGACAAGATTTTTTCTTGCATATTACAAGTACCAAGAAGAAGAAGACGAAGAAGAAATAAATGAAGGAAATGCCTGATATAAATTTAGATTAGATAATGTAGGTAGACGGGTGTGTGTAGATAGATATTCTGTATGGATAGAGGGTAAGGCGCTGATCCTGCATTTTGTTGTGCTCAGTGGACTTCAGCACTCTGCCTATGGGTTGCTCATTGCACAGAGTAAGGCTGGCAAGATCAGACTCCAAGTTCCATAGCTATAAAATTACAGGGCATGCAATTTGGAAATATAAATTGTTCTCGTCCACCTTGGTCTTCCCAGGACACCACGTAGTCACAAATGTTTCCAGTTGATTATTCCTCTAGCATATAAGCTTTCACATTTGAATGTCAAGTAGGGAATTTGTCCAGTGATCAATATTTAATGGGGAGAGGTGCTCCTGGTGCTGTAGAATGCTTTTTATTGCAGCACGTGAGCTATGAAATATTTTGTGCTTTTATTTACTTCTTCTGCAATGCTTGTTGAATTGAAGCCAGATCCTGCCACCCTTAGTTGTGTTGAGTAGCATCTTACTCCACATGGTACTGCTCAGTGTGAGTAAAGCTCGCATAATCTGATCCTTAAATATTAATGAAGGCAGACTCAGTATCAGAGTTGCTGTTGTAATTATTCTGCATATAGTCGCCTTCCATCCCCTTGTAGATAGGCAATAGTATTAGTAGTAATACGGCGATGCAGACTCCCAATCACGACCCATGGTGCTAGGCACGCTATAAACACATCGTCAGAGACAACCCCTTCCAGAAGGAGCTTACATTCTAAATAGGGAGGAGAAAAGATAGGTTAGACATTACAGAGAGGAAATTAATACACCAGGAGGGGGAGCATAAAGCTGAAACACAAATATTGATTGTGAAATGCCATCCACTTGGAAACCATTAATGCTGAGAAAGACATAGGTGTGTTGAGGCAAAAAGGCATATGACACCGTAGGGTTCATTTTCAGAAGAGACACATGACAGGCCAGGAAGGTGATAGTTGAAACTGGAACAGGTCTTCAACCAATAAAAAAAATGCACCCCTGATACCACGTGTGAGCAAGAGCATCTACCAGGAGGCTCTACAAACACAGCCCAGTTGTGTAGGCTCCAAGGTCGTTCACTTCCAGGGGGCTGGCTTTATCAACAAGGAAAACACCAAGAAGATATAAAGATCAGCTCCAACTTTCTCCTCTGACTTGACTGCTCCGAGAGCTCCTACCAAAGGACTTGTCAGCCCACACCCTAGATCCTCTGTCCGCACAGAGCCACTCCCACCTCCCTTATATACAGGAGGATTAATGAGCAACCTGCATCAGTACAATCCATTTAACCCATTCCCAGTAAGATCAGCAGGATGTGGGGACGGGGAGGGCAGGTGTTTCAGGCAAAGGCTGTGAGCCTGTTACAAGGAGTTATAAAAAATAACAAGTGGTCACGAGAAGGCAAATCAGACACTCCTCTTTCCCCCAGCCCTCTGCTGTGTCTGGTGTCATTTAGATGAGAAAATATTTGGGGCGTAGACGCTGAGCTGTATCTTTGTACGGCGATGTGCCTAGCGTGCTACCGGGCACTGTGAAATAATCAGGCAAGCAAAAGCACCCTTTGTAAGACGTGGCACCGGATTGGACAGCCGGTGACGGTGCACAATGCCATTGCCTTGTCACACCTGTGTCAGGAGGAAGTGACTCCAGCAGAGAATTTGGCACAGGTTCATAATCATCCCCAGGCCCAAACTACATACTCTTCTGGCAGGCCTTTTACAGGCCTTTCTGCTGCTAGCTGCAGATTCGCAGTGCGAGCTGGGGTTTGGCCTCAGTCGGCAGAGCTGCCTCAGCCCTAGGATTCAGTGGCTTGGGTCTCCCAGTTCCTTGCTGATACATTCTCACGCCAATCCCTAACAGCGTGTCTGTGGTGTGTGGGGGACTTCAGGGGAATGTTAGTGGGAGCGGAAGGAGAAGAAGTGTATTGCGGCTGGGCCGGGCAGGGAGTTCTGTGGGTGTTATTCCACTATATATTTTTGTATGCATATTTTAAAATGAACTCTGTGCCTGGAGCTCTGGACAGATATTTGGGAGAGAGCGAGACAAAGTTAACGGATGTGTTGTGGCACTCTCTGTTCCCATTGTCTTCGCTCTCACACAGACTGCTCAGTGACCTTCCTTTTGAAGGTACCACCATGTTGCATGCAGCCATACCATTCGCACAGTCCTTCAGCTTAACTACCCCTTCTCCCAAGGGGTGTGGGTGGGGAAAGTCTCTCTGCACAGAGAGCTGCCTTTATCAGGCCCACCTACTCACTTACTTACTTACTCACTCTCTCTCTCTCTCTCTCTCCTGCTTCCTCCCTTGCCCCTCCTTTCTGTGCTCTTTTATCCAATCCCCTTGTTAATGGGCTAACTAGCTCATTAGCTACTCATTACCCCAACCTGAGCCAGTGACAGGAACTCCTCTCCTTATTCAGGCTTCCTCAGGGCCTACCTGGTTAAACAGTGGCCAGAGTGTTGGGTCAATTGCTGATTCCCAGCACCTCTGCCACAGACACGTTCTTCCAGTTCCATCCCCAGGACCTTCAATCCACATTATCTCATGAAGGAAAACACATGGCCTTGATAATGCATCCACTTAACTCCGAGTCACCAGAGCGCACACAAGGCTTCATTCAGTCTGACTCCATCATTGGACACAAAGGACCATGTGCCATGACCTACATACTGTGCAGCTCTTGGCATTCATTTGGCACTAGGAACATAGGCACTGCCAGATGGGATCAAACCTGGGGTCCACCTAGTCCAATATGCTCTATCTAACTGTGGCAACACCAGATGCTTCATAGGAAGGTGTGAGAAATCCTGCTGAAGCCAGTGATGGGTTAATCTGCATACCAGAGAAGCTTCTTCCAAACCCTCAATACTACAGGTTGTCTTAGGCCCTAAAACATGGGGGTTTGTGGTTGGGATTTTGAAAGGGGTCTAATGGAGGTCAAGTCAATGGGAATTGGGCGCCTAACTCTTTAGGCTGGATTGCAAAGCCCAGCCAAGATCCTTCCCAAACCTTATATTTTAAACCCCTACTATCATAATTCTGGATGGTCCCAGTGTCCAGGCAAATTTTGGATCCTTTCTGGAACCCTGCCAATGACCTCTTATGAGGTCCTCTTATGGAACCCTGCCAATGACCTCTTATGGCAGGGAGGTCCCCTGTATAAATGAAACAATAACATGTTAGGGAAGACAGCAGATACAGATCTTCATGCACTGTACATTGGCCATACTGGCCTCCTGAGAGAGACATGGCTGTTACAACATACCTTTATAAGACACCTACAAAGAGCATTAAGGGACAGATTTTTAAAGGTATTTAATTCCCATGGGAGTTAGGAGCCTGAATGCCTTTAAAATTCTGGCCTTATGTGTTAACATTTGCTATATCTGTTCATAAATATCTTTCCCCCAGAAAACCAATAGCGCCACACCAGAGTGAGCAGAATCCCCTTTTGGACATCTCTGCCAAATCCCCAGTGCACTGGAAATTTCATTGTTGCTAGTTTGATGCATTTTAGCCTCTTCTAGAAATGGCTCCCCTTCGAAAATGTAAACAAATAATGCCTCATTTTCTTTCTTCAGCTACAGGTAATCCTGCCGTAACATTCAAACCCATATAAGGCTGCAAATGTCCCAGGATTACACCACATTATGCATGTTGAAGCCAGAATCAATAACTGTTAATAGCAAAGGGTCATACATGAAATCTGAAGACACACTGAGACTAGTTTAATAAGGTTTGTGCAACAGCTTCACTTGAGGAATTTCAAGATGTAACACATAAGCGGCTGCCTGCGGAGAGGCCCAATAGAAACAAGCCACTCCTCTCCCTGAAACTGAGTTTATTAGCTTGGAGAGCTGTAGTCTAAGGAGCAGGAGAATATTTTTGGAATGCTCTCAATTAAGTGACAATCTAATATCCTCAGACTCGCAGCAGACAGCAGGGAAAGCTTCAAATGAAAAACCCTCCTGATAATAAATGTGTCATCAGGCAGGTCTTTGGGCAGGTAGGCTTCATGGCTGACTCTATCATTGCTCTTTGAGTGGGCTCTACAGAACAATGTGGTAAGTATGTCTATGTCTATGTTAACACTTGTCAGAGTATAATCTTAGGGTCTGTGCTACCAGTAACAAGCAATTTCCAAACACAAATTGACGTAGAAGACCCCCAAACTATGGGGCCTATTCTTCCACGCTGTTGGGTCTGGAAGAACAACCTGGGAGCCTGGCTCTGAGATGGGAAAACTGAATCTGCCCATGTGCACTCCAAAGCTCTGGCTTTATGTGGGTGGAGTGGATTTTACCTATAACAGGTAAAACATTCCAGCCCCAAAGTGCATGTCTCTAAGGGACATTTGATTCTTTATTGCAATTACACTGGCCTTTTTGGCACATGATATGAAATCACAAAAGAAACCATAGGATCATTAGTATAAGAAATGGTCTTGGGATGGTCATGGAGTCTTAATTTTCTTGTGTTTTGGGCCAATGTTGGGCAGAATGTTTTGTGCCTGCTTTGCGGGAAGGGGGATGCATCTTAACAAAATGTGTCAAGTATCAGAGGGGCAGCCGTGTTAGTCTGGATCTGTAAAAGCAGCAAAGAGTCCTGTGGCACCTTATAGACTAACAGACGTACTGGAGCGTATTCGTGGGTGAATACCCACTTCGTCGGATGTATGTAGTGGAAATTTCCAGAGGCAGGTGTAAATGTGCAAGCAAAATGTGGTGCAACATACTTAATACACACACCTCCGGTGTTGGACATGACCAGGTGTCTCCTTCTCTATGATGTCTTCACAGTAATCAGTAGCCACTAAATGATGCTATATTTGACTGATGTACCAGGTGAACTCAGCTGCTAGGATTCAGTGCGTGTTGAGTTTCTTCAAAGTCTGTTTCAAACAGGCACCAAGGAAATGGACATCACTTAAACTAACACGATACGCAACCTTTTCCTTTCCAGTAATTCTAGAAAAGCTATTAGAGCTGGTCAGAATGTTTCATGTAAAATACTTTAATGACAAAAATGGCTTTTTTGACAAATCATGAATGTTTCTGTGGGAAATGTCTGGCTTTTGACTAAATTTGAGGTGTTTTGGTGAAAATGAAAATAAATTTTTTAAAAAATGTAATTGGGCTTCAGCAACTGAAAATCAAAAAAAAGAATCTGTCAGAAACTAAAAAAATTTCATTTGCCAAAAACCAAAATATTTTTGGTTTTTTTTTTCAACAAAAACCTGCAAACGTTTGATAAAAATTCTTGATGAAAACCAAAACATTTTTCTTTTCTGTCTTGGTTCCCAGGAACAAGAAACTTTCCATGAGCAGATGTGTGATCTGTTTTCAGTTTCTGCTTTAATCAGAGTCAGAGCTGGAGCACTAGCCGCAACAATTGAGGGTTCTGACGCATTTCCAAATGTTTTCAGTTGCTCACAACTTTCAGAAATTTTCAGGCTTTGGGCTGAAATTTTCAAGGCCTGGTCTCTGCTTGGGGGTGAATTTTGTCAGAAATTTGAGTAAAAATGCTTCATCCATCTTCATGATGATATGGAGTTACAAAACAACAACAAAACCTTTCCACGCTAATAAAATCATTGCGATATTTTTGGACCAGCTCCGGTGCTGGAATGGGTGAGGCTAGAGAGTGAAATTTGGCAAGGGAATAGCTCCTGGACTGGCCAGGTGCCTTGTGCGCTGGTGAAAATGAGTTTGCATTTAGTCAAGTTAAGAGATTTGACAACCAGTTTTGTGTAAAAGTGCAGTAGTTTTGCTTTGAAGGCTGCACTGAGTTGCATGTTGCCAATTCAGACACAGATCAGGGACTCAGAAGTTCTGTTAACCTCATTCCTTGGCCACCTGCACTGTGCATTTAAACCTATGCAACGAATGAGATGGCTCCTGTGCAAATTGTAGCCTGCAAGCATGTCATTAAAGGCAGCCTAATGATCAGGCATGGGGTTGAGGTGGCATGTAACCTTGGCATTTCTTCATTTTGGGGTGCTTGGCTTTGCAGTCTTCACGTTCTCTATAGCGAGCATTGTCTCTGAAATTAGATCAGCCTGAGACATGTTTCCTGCCAAGAGACAGTGGCCTTCTCCCCTTCTTCTCCTGCACAAAGTTTTGGAATGCTGGGGGTTTTCTTCTCTTTGGGGGCTGAGAATGGTGAATAGAAACCCTGAGCCTTATTGTCAGTTGTACTTAGGCCTCCTTGCACCATTCTGGCAACATAAAGGGGCCTTAAAGTGTATGGAAGTGGCCCCTGAGAACTTCCCCAGTGCAGGGGGTCCCCCTACCCTGTGTAGGGCTAGTAATAAGGGTGCCCTGCTCCCACGTTGGCATATGGAATTCTCTGTGGCATGTCAGGGATGGCTGGAGTGCACTGCTCTAGCTCTTCTCTGCTTCCGAGGGAGACAAGGGTAGCAGAGGGTAAAGCAGAGCGGTCCTGAGGCTGCTCTAACTTATGCCAGGGGTCAGGTAGGCCCCAGCCCAGCCCCAAAATACAGGATTGCAACAGGGTCTTTACACCCCCAGCGCGGGAGCAGAGGGACTTAGAATCAGCCCCACTAGACTTTACCACCTAGCTGTAGGCCGTGACCAACCCAAGGCCTGGTAGGAAAGCAGCTTGGGGAGAGTATTATGGAATAGTATTCGCAGGCACCAGAGCTAAGCTTGAGTCAAATCAAATCAAGGTCCGGTGCCTCCCGACATGGGACTGGAGCATGCCACGGGAGTCACTGTGCAGAGGAGAGCTCCGCACACAAACCACCCCTGCCTGGGCAGTGGAGACAGCCCCTTTCACACTCACAGGGGCCCAGCAAAGGTGCCCTGTGGGGCCAGAGATCTTCAGGGAAGCGGAGCCACTGGGGGCTCCCTGCATCCCTGCCAGCCCTGTGGGTTCCCCTGCTTCCAGCCCTGTCACCCTTCCTCAGAAGTAGAAAATCCCAGGGCTGGGACCTGTCAGGGGAGCCTTTTGGAGTCAGGTTGACAGAAGTGGGACACGGCTGTGGGTCTCTGACAAGAGCACTAGTCCCTGCACATCAGCTGGATGGATCCATGCAATGATCTGGGGCAAGCCCTGGGAGAAGAACCGGGTTGCGTTCTCCTCCCTCTGACCCCTGCCTCCCCCACGGTCAGGGCAGCAGTGCCCCACTGCGTTCGTTAGCGACTCGTGAAATAGCTCCAGTACAGTCCCAGCAGCTACCACGCACCTGCCACGTCCAAACCAGGCCGTCCGGGCTCAGCCAAGGAGCACAGTGGCCTCTCTGTCCCAAGGGAGTTCTCCCACTGCCTTTGGATCAAGGCCCGAGTGAGTGGGCGCCTTTGCTTCAGAACCCGCTCCGTGCTGGAGCTGATCCCTAGGTCACATCTCTGGTGGCGAGATGGGCAACTTCCCATCAGTCTCCACCTCAGGACACGGGCAACTTTTCTTTCCTGTTAGTTTGACACTCTGCAGCATGAGCCTAGGCTCATTGCAACCTGGGCTGCGCGTGAGATGCTATTGGCTTATGGTTCATATTGGATTATAGCACATAGCACAGAGCAGCCCTTTCTACTCCCCAGGCATGGGCCATTGGTTTTTCAGTGGCGGGGGGAATGAGGGAGGCTCACTCTCCTGCTTGGTTTTCAGAGGTTTCAGAGAGACATGCTTGTGACAGGGTTTGGAGGGGAGGAGGTTAAATGTGGGGGTGCTGTATTGTTGGCCCGGTAGAGGTAACACAGGTACAAAGCTCATGCAGACCCTTAGGGCTGCCTTTCTTGTCTGGCTTGAGTGAACAGTGTGCTCTGAAACCCCCTTGGCAAAGAATAACAATAAGAGAGCACACGGCAAAGGGATTTCATCTGCAGGCCACATCTCAGCACCAGCCAGCCCCCTTCACTGCTCTTCTGCCCTGTGCCCTCAGGAATCAGACCCAGCCTCAGGGAGCCTCCCAAGGAAAAAGCAAATAGTTGCCCCTGTGACTTCACAGGATGTATCCCCAGAGGCCCTGAAGCAGCAGCCAGCACTGCCTTAGAAGCATGATGTGTTTCCTACTTACTCTGCCGCTGTTAAGTCCAGTGTCTCGAGGGGAATTGTAAATCTAACAACAACCGGTGAAGGACAAAAGGGCATTGGTGCTCACCGCCAGGCCGAGCAAAGCAGCAACAAAGCATAGCCGGGGAGTGTCACATAGACAGTTGCAGTTTTGCTTTTGACAGCCACAATCTTGGCCCACACCAGGCTTTGAACTGGGAACCTCCAAGATCTCTGCTAGAGCTGGGCAAATAATGAACTGTTCTGTTCACTGGCAATTCCCCAAAATCCCACACCCCCCAAAAACAAGTTTTGGGTTGACCCCAAAATGAAAGTTTTCAAATTTTTCAGCAAATTGAAAAGTTGAAATTTCACCTTGTGTTGAACAAAACATTTCCCATGGATTTTGAGCATTTTTAAGGGTTTGTTTTGGGGATGGGGGTTAAAAAAGTTTAAAGATAACTGAAGGAAATTTCCAAGTGGCAAGTGGTTTCAAATGGAAAAATCCAAACATTTCCTATTGAAAGTGTGGACTTTTTCCAATTTTTTTTTCCAGTAGGAACAATTCAGTGAAACTGACATGAATTTGTGAAGCATTTCAGTGCTGCCAAACCTGCATTTTTCATCCAAAAAACCCAGTTTGGGCTGAAACATGTCTCCTGGCTCTAGTCTCTGCAGCATGAGCTAACAAAAGCCTCTGTCTCGGGCCTGTTCACCTCCTCGGGGGGCATTAGGTATACAGGGGGCAACGTCACAGACGCTGACCGGGGGACTGCAGCTGCACAAGGGAGGACAGGGTGGAAGAAGTCTTCCCCTCCTGTTCCTCTTCCCCCGCCTTACACCTACAGCCCCTGCTCCTCCTGTGATCAGTCAGGGTATTCTGGTTTGTGGTCTGGGTCAGCCTGTGAGATCTCTGCTCCTATTGGTGACCAGGTACTCAGTCCCAATGACTGGCAGTGAGGGTTCGGTCTGGCCTGTTCGAAACACTCCTAATAATAAAGTTCACTCATGAAGTTAGAACATTGCTGGGGCTTTTGTGGCAGGGGACAAGCCGGTCACCACATGGGATAAGAAAGGCATTTCCCTTCTGGGTGTGCACCCAAGATTCAGAGCCACCAAGCTATGCACATAGCTAGCCTGTGTATGCATGGCACCATTTTCCCTTCCCTTCCCTTCCCCCCTCATTCTCATTGTTGTGCATCTTGCATTAGATTGTAAGCCAGGGACGGTACTTTCTGATGCGTTTATACGGCACCTAGTGCAATGGCGCTCCGATCCTGATTTGGGCTTCAGGGTGCTCCCAGAATATAGATAATAAGTCCTATGATAATATCTACAATTATTATTATTATTATTATTGATGTATTGTTATTAATAGTAATAATTGATATGTGTATTACTGTAGGATGGGTTTGCCTTCCTCCGAAAGATCAGTTACTGGCCACAGGAGCAGGAAGGATGCCAGACTGGATGGATGAATTGTTCTGTGTTCCTGTGGCTGGTAAGCTTCAGGTTCCAGCATTTGTTCCAGTGACCCTTCCGGTACTGCACTGAACTATTTCTAGCCCCCATTCCCTGCCTTTCTTCTCTGTTTTGGCTAAAGCCCTCCTCTTTCAGGTTCCCCGCTCTGGGGCGACTCTGCTGATTTCAGACCTGATGTAGGGTTGGTTGGAGGTACTCTCCACACAGTGCATTCAGTAACTGGTGATGGATTCCTCAATAGAGGCCAAAGGCCACGACAGCAGTAATCCATCCCCTCCACGGTCCCAGCCCTAGTTACGGTAAATGACTTGGCAACCGGTCGAAAGGCAGCTGATGATGACTAAAGAGCCAGACAGCTACCACAGTCTAGATGGTGTCCAGTTACAGAGCTAAATAGAGGGGATGAGTGCCGCCGACATGAGACTCTATAAAAAGAGGGGTTTAGGATGGGCCAGTCCCGGGGACCCTGACTAGATCAAAGTGAAAGAGCCAGAGAAAGAAAGGGGCATGAAAAGCAACAATAAAAACCCTCAAGAGAATAACTGGGGCTGCTTCCCAAGGGAAAGTGAAAGCATAAGCTTTCGTGAGCTACAGCTCACTTCATCGGATGCATACAGTATGCATCCGATGAAGTGAGCTGTAGCTCACAAAAGCTTATGCTCAAATCAATTGGTTAGTCTCTAAGGTGCCACAAGTCCTCCTTTTCTCTTTGCGAATACAGTGACTTACTCTGCACGAACCCCTGACTCATCCTCCCCAACTGCTTGTTTCCCGGTGATCTTAGGACTCTGGGGTCTTCAGCAGTGCTCAGCTCAAGATGCCAGTAAATAGAAGATTTTAATTAAAGAGTTAAAAGGGCTTTCTTTCTTTCTTTCTTTTCTTTTCTTTCAGCAGAAAAAGAATAAATGGGCCAAGGGAAGCCGTGGAAGAAATCAGCTTTCTGAATGCAGAGAAACAGAGCAATTAGAACCTGTTCCCCAAAACTTAGCCTAATATAAAGAGAAAGCATTGTGAAGGGGTTGTAAAAATCTTTGCTCTCCTAACATTTGGGGTGGGGTTTTCCAAGGGGTTTAGGAGCAGAAGGCCCCGTGACTTTGAATGGGACCTGTGCTCCTAAGTCAGTTAGGCTCTTTTGAAAATCCCAGCTGGCTTTGTGTCTTTGTCCCTCAGTCTCCACATCCGGGAGTGTGATGCCCCTGCACTAGAGCTATAACAGCAGCTATGAGGGTGACTGTCATAGTGTGACACTGTCTTCCTCCCAACCAGCTTGCCTCAGCCTCAGACTAGTGCAAGGTCCCTGGGAGTTTCTTCTGCCCCTGGAAAAAAGTGATGTGAGGAGCAAGGCAGGTCTTAAAACCCCATCTCAACACAACCTTGCCTGTCAATCTTTTGGCAACTTCACCAGGAACTTATTTTGGTGGGGCCAATTCTGATACCCTTCTTCATACTGCATGGCCCCCGAGTCCCTGCTGTTTCCAGTAGGACTAAATTACGCCTCTACATGAGCAAAGATGGCAGAATCTGACCCTTAATGTGCATATAATTTATCTCTTGCATGCCTGCCTTCTTCTGTAGTCCCCTCTCCCTCCCCACCAACCCACAGTACCTATTGATTTTCCTGATTTGCTTGCCTGTGATTACATTATACTCTTTTTTTCTTCTTTCTCGGTCTGAGGGAGATAAATTAGACTCTAAAAGCCAAATGAAACACAAGAGAATAGATGAAATACAACAAAACAGCGAGTGGAAGGAAAATTGTAGGCTTGTTTCTTTTCCTCTTGATATATATGTTTTTATTTCATTGTTCCTATTTACACCAGGCATATATATTCTCACTGCAGCCCACACAACAGTACAAATGGAGTGAACAATAGTCACAAAATCCTTCCTGTAAAGCACTTGAAAGTCCTTGTTGATTCTTTAGGGCATCTAAACGGATCTGTTAGTATCCATCCTAGCCTCGGGTCACACAGGGTGCTGTAATTTATAGAGCTGGGGGCTAAGCCAAGGTAACATGACTTGCTGCACTAAGAAGTGAAGGTTTTGTTAAAGTTTTGGGAAGTGCCGATAAAATCACAGCCAGAAATGGAACAAAAAACGTCTGTCTCCCACATTCGAAACCAAGGCAGCTGGAATGTGAAAGAGAACTCACAGAAGACCTCCAGGGGTTGAGGGAGATGATCGTCTATCATTCAAATGCTACTCTTCAAATGTTAACTTTAGACCTGCCAAAACATGGTATATCACGTTTCTCTGGATCAAGGTGGGCCGAGGTGTTAAAACAAGGTGCTAACAAATGTAGGGAGGGCACCTGAGAATGAAATGATTAGGGGTCTGGCAACAAAAATGATTAGGGGTCTGGAACACATGAGTTATGAGGAGAGGCTGAGGGAGCTGGGATTGTTTAGCCTGCAGAAGAGAAGAATGAGGGGGGATTTGATAGCTGCTTTCAACTACCTGAAAGGGGGTTCCAAAGAGGATGGCTCTAGACTGTTCTCAATGGTATCAGATGACAGAACGAGGAGTAATGGTCTCAAGTTGCAGTGGGGGAGGTTTAGATTGGAAATTAGGAAAAACTTTTTCACTAAGAGGGTGGTGAAACACTGGAATGCGTTACCTAGGGAGGTGGTAGAATCTCCTTCCTTAGAGGTTTTTAAGGTCAGGCTTGACAAAGCCCTGGCTGGGATGATTTAACTGGGGATTTGGTCCTGCTTCGAGCAGGGGGTTGGACTAGATGACCTTCTGGGGTCCCTTCTAACCCTTATATTCTATGATTCTATGATTCTATGAAATGATGGTAAATTTACTATCCTGACTTCTGAGAGTGTACGGTTTTCATGTTTCCATGTTGTTTCCTGACCCCACTGATCACATCAGGAATCATGATATGGCCTCAGCAGGTTTTGCAGGCTAGTTCTTTAGGTGAACCCCTAGGGAACAAAAGAAAAGGAGGACTTGTGGCACCTTGGAGACTAACCAATTTATTTGAGCAGAAGCTTCCGTGAGCTACAGCTCACTTCCTCGGATGCAATGGTCCGGGAACCACGTTGCACACTAGATAATGCACGACAAGTTGCTCCACTGGTAGCAGAGTGAATTGCACCCGAGCTGCAAGGAGCAGTTTTCAGAGCAGTGTCACTGGAGGGGCTGAGAGAAAGGGATCTTAAAAAGATTCACAGGAAGAAATTCCGGAGTGCATCGATTTGAAAACCAGAGCGTTCTAATCGGTGATATCTGCAGCAGGCCCGATTCCGCTCATATGTGCACAATTGTAAATCAGAACGCCATGAAGTGACAGCTGGACGCAGGGGATGGGGACTCCCGGGGACGGCACTTTTAACAGCCTCAGGTTCCCTGATATTGTGAGAAATTCTGGCCACGGACTTGTTTTTGGGTCTGGAATGGGTAAGCGAGAGGGACACAGAGCAGGGAGCTAGGTATATATCGCATATGTCCCTCACGTCATGTGTTTTTATCCCAAAGTTTCACTCAAATTAATGTTGACAATGACTTACTTACCCTAGCAATGCAGAATCATGGAGTAGAGGTTTGAGAGAGAGCTATTTACATCAAAGGAAGGATTCCCGCATCACATGACATTCCCTGTAGGAATCATTTTGTGTCCCCCTCATCTGGGGATTTTGTCACACCTTGGGTCTCACTTGGGGGCTTTGGCAGGGCAAGGTTACATTCGGGTCATGAACAGGCTGCAGGGACACCCTCACAGTTGCAGTGGCATCAGTTCAGTGGTGATGAGGCTGGGAGCAGGTGGCTGACTTTTCATCACCCAGATAGTCTCTTATGCAAGGGGAATCCTTGGCTGGCTCCTGAAGTGAGATTTTGACCCATTTTTTGCAACAGATTTAAGGCCAGAAGGGAGCAGTCTGATCAATAAGTCTGACCTCCTGCATAACGCAGCCCAGAGAATGTCACCTAGTAATTCCTGCATCAAGCCCATATCTTGTGGTTGAGCTAGAGCCTCCATTTCTGCATGTACAGCTGGCATGCACCAATCATTTGGGTGTGCAGTTTTGTGCACTATCACTTGTGCACCTAAAGGATGGGTTTTGCATGTGGAAAACACATTCATGCTGCTACTGCAAGTAAATTCTCATGCATATAAATCCTGTTATTTGTGTGCACAAATGATAGTGCTCCGTAGTTACATATGTAAATGAGAGAGATTTGGCCCTAAACACCTTGATGATTTTCCAGATTAATACATGCATATGCAAGGTCAGTGTGCTGACATGTTGGTCACTGCAAATGTATAATGTGGGATTAAGCATATAGGGCCTGATTCTCCAATGCCCCGCACCTTCTGTGGTCATTTATATCTGTGCAAGTTGGAGTAAAATGATACCAGAGCAGACCAGGAGCATTTTACACCTACTGTGAGCAGGTATAAATGACTATCCAAGGAGCAGAGGGGTGGAAAATCAAAGTCCCTAAATTGGATTTATTAGAATCATAGAATATCAGGGTTAGAAGGGACCTCAGGAGGTCATCTAAGTCCAACCCCCTGCTCAAAGCAGGACCAAGCCCCAATTTTTTCCCCGGATCCCTAAATGGCCCCCTCAAGGATTGAACTCACAACCCTGGGTTTAGCAGGTCAAAGCTCAAACCACTGAGCTATCCCTCCCTAGAAACTAGACAACACCTTTTGAAAACATCCCATAATGAAAATGCAGAGCCCCAGCTATATCAAAGTAAACCACAGTGACTTTGCTTGTATCTCTGTCCAGTTTGTGGCGTGTGGTCAGTGGCACTGTTTTAAAGATGTAAAGTTTCTATATGATAGACTGAACAAGGAGCATATATAATCTAACATCCATTATATTGGAACTGGCAGAAAGGCTTCAGGAAGTAAAGTAAAGGCAGTTTAAAGGATTAGTAATTTACTTGCTCTAAATCAGGGGTGGGCAAACTACGGCCTGGGGGCCGCATCTGGCCCTCCAGATGTTTTCATCTGGCCCTCCAGCTCCCGTTGGGGAGCAGGGTTCGGAGCTTGCCCCGCTCCAGTGCTCCAGCCGGAGAGCAGGGTTGGGGGCTTGCTCCACTCCGCGTGGCTCCTGGAAGCCGTGGCATGTCCCCCTCTGGTTCCTACGTGTAGGGGCAGCCAGGGGGCTCTGCACGCTACCCCCTCCCTAAGTGCCACCCCCACAGCTCCCATTGGCCGGGAACCATGGCCGATGGGAGCTACAGGGGCAGTGCCTGCGGATGGGGCAGCGCGCAGAGCTGCCTAGCCGTACATCCGCATAGGAGCCGGAGGGGGGACATGCTGCTGCTTCTGGAAGCTGCTTGAGGTAAGCGCTGCCTGGAGCCTGCACTCCTGACCGCCTCCCACGCCCCGACTCCCTCCCCAACCCTGATTCCCCCTCCCACCCTCTGAACCCCTTGGTCCCAGCCTGGAGCAACCTCCTGTACCCCCAACCCCTCATCCCCAACCCCACCCCAGAGCCCGCATCCCCAGCCAGAGCCCTCACCCTCTCCGGCACCCCAACCCCCAATTTCATGAGCATTCATGGCCCACCATACAATTTCCATACCCAATTGTGGCCCTTGGGCCAAAAGGTTTGCCCACCTCAGCTCTAAATCATGATCTACATACATTCATTTGAAAATGTTATTTTCTTGTAATTATTTGTGACAATTTTCAATTCTAATTTAAAATATACTGGCACTTTCCTCGGGTCACACACATTTTCCCCCTCTGATCTCAGTAAAGCCAGGGGAGACGGGGAGATTAATCTTTTAATCGTGCTATTGGCATGTTTTACTGAAAGAGGGCTCATGCATGGGAGATTTATTGTAAACTTTTTGCTGGGCTTTTAAGTGGCGATGCTTTGCTACTAAAGAAAATATAACCAAATGCAAACACAGAGCGTTAAAGAGAAATGACATCTTTGAAACCCACATCGCCTTCCATCTAAAATCATCAGGAATGTGCCAAATTATAAAATAAAGCTTTTTATTTTATGTTCCCTGGACTCCTTTGCTCCTACAATATTCCAGCAGCTAAAATGCAGTCCTGCTGCTGACACTTGGAAGACTCATTAATAAGTCATATGAGGAATGTTGTTCAATGACTTCCAGTTTCTCATTAGTAAATCAGAATCTGGTGTTATTCTGCCTGGATGGAGGGTGGGGGAAGGGGGAGGGTATGTCGGAATAAGCAGCCTTTGGCACATAAATCAGGTCACATCTTCTAAATGAAACCTAGAACAGCAGTCACTCACATGATTAACATTCTTCTCTGCACTGGAGGCATGAAAAACCGTTAGGGCCTAAAGCATTAAGGTGGCCACAGTGCACATTTGCAATCTGTATTTTGCAAGGAAAAGCACTGTGCGGCCGAGTCCATATTTAATGAGGAGTGGGGGTGAGAAAGATCGGGAGCTGCCATGGGCAGAATATACTTCTGTCCCAATTAACAGCAAATGTGGCTGCTCTTAGGCAAAAGCTGCTTTAAAAAAAAAGAACAAGATGTTATTTATGGTGGAAATTTAAGATCTTATGAACTGGTTTCCCACATGCAGATGGGCTCTATTTGCGAGGAAAGCCGTGCAACTTTTGCTCGGTCAGAAGCCCATTGGAGAGGGCATGGTGCTGCATATAACTCGCCCTCCTCCCAGGCTATTTAACAGCAGCTCAAGCTAGG